TGCGCGAAAATAAAAAATATAAGAAAAGAATTTACGTTGTGACAATTCACCCCCCAATCTTTAAGAAATTGTTCCACAGTTTCTTTCGCGGTACATTCAATATTTACTTGGAGGTGAGCCTCACACTACGACTGAGAAAATCAGCGCCAATGTTATCGCTCCCTTTTATGGCAACAATTCTCATGCGGTACGGTTGCATTGCCAAGGCCCAGCGCATTATACGTGCGTTTGCCATTTTTGATTTCTGTATGTAGGCCAAGGGTTGATGATCAGTTTCGACAATGAATGGTTTTCCATAGAGATGTGTCTGAAATTTCTGGACTCCCCAGACTAGGGCCAAGCATTCTTTCTCTATTGACGAATAAGCTTGCTCGCGGCTTAGCAGCTTGCGGCTCGCATATGCTATGGGGAAAAGTGTGCCTTCATGTTCCTGTAAGAGGATTGCTCCTATACCAAGATCTGATGCGTCTGTACGTAGGGTAAATGTCTTCTCAAAATCGGGCAGCATTAAGATGGGAGCATTTGATAGACAGTGCTTGAGCTTTTCAAACGCCATTTGTTGATTGTCGGTCCAGTGAATCTTATTGGGCTCTTTGTTCTTAGTTTTGTCGGTTAGCGGCGCAGCTATGGCGGCATAATTTGGGATGAATTTCCGATAATACCCTGAAAGACCGAGAAATGATCGTAGCTGTTTCTTGGTTTCTGGCTGTGGTGCTTGCTTGATTTTATCTATTTTGTTAGTCTGTGGAGCCAACATTTGCTTGCCGACTATGTGACCGAGATATTCAATGGTGTTCATGCCAACTGAGCATTTGCTGGGGCGTGCAGTTATACCGGCGTTTCTGAGTCTTTTCAGTAGGGTTGTCAGAATTTTGATGTGAGTTTCCCAAGACTGCGTGTGTATCAGAATATCGTCGATGTAGTTGTCCACATTTTCTAGGTCTTTAGTTAGAATTCGCATGATGCGGCTGAAGGTAGCTGGCGCATTTACAAGACCAAATGGCATAACTGTGAACTGAAAGAGACCACTCGGTGCTATGAATGCAGTTTTGTCCTTACTTTCTGGACTCATAGGAACTTGCCAGTAACCTTTTGTTAGATCGATCTTTGTGAAATAGTGACATTTGCGTAGACGAGCGAATATCTGTTCGGGATTGGGGATTGGTTCTGCGTCGAAGATTGTGACCTTGTTTAATTTTCGGAAATCGATACAGAAACGATTTGATCCGTCGGGTTTCTTCACCAGTACTATCGGGGACGCGTATGGGGAATCCGATCGTTCGATTATGTTCATTTTTAGCATGTCAGTGACTTCTGTGTTCACGGTATCGATCAGTGCGTAAGGCAAGGGATACGGTTTGCTTCGAATGGGCTCTTCGGATTTAACCTTAATTTCGTGGTATCCTAAATTCGTTTTACCGGGTATGTCTGTGAGTACGTCACGGAAATTACCGAGTACGCGTTTTGTTTCTTGACGTTGGTCTCTGGATAGATCCGAACTGATTTCGATATCATCGATGGTTTCTTTTGCTTCTAAGCGCGGTAGAACAAGAATATCATCGTTATCGAATCTTGCTTCCTCAATTAATTCATCATCACTGCAATCTTGCTCGCATTCGATCAATGCCACGCATACGGAGTCGAACACGTCATCGCGTGGTTCTGTTTTTACGGTAAGAGACGACGTGATTTCCGATCTGGGAATGTATTTCTTAAGCAAGTTAGCATGGAATATCTTATTCTTGCCTGAAAGATCAATCCGATAATCAGCAGGACCAATCTTATCGACAACAGGGAACGGTCCTTTCCATTGGAGAAGTAATTTGTTGTTATCCGTCGGTAACAGGAGAAGAACTAAATCACCGGGATTGAAGCTTCGTGGTTTTGCTTTGCGATTATAGTATTTCTTACTGCGTTCGGATGACTGCCTTATGGCTTCACTTGCGATCTTGCATGTTTCGTCGATACGTTCTCGGAGATCTAGTACGTATTGGTATGTAGTGCGTATTTCTTCATTTCCGCTCTTACAACCCGTCCATAACTCCTTAAGGATTGAAAGTGGTCCACGGACGCTACGACCGTACAACAACTCGAATGGTGCAAATCCACTACTTTCATTGGGTGAGTCACGGTACGCAAAAAGCAGAGGGCCTATATATCTATCCCAATCACGGGGTTTTTCTGAACAAAGACGTTTAAGCATCTGCTTCAGTACGCCGTTGAAGCGTTCAACGAGACCGTTACACATTGGATGATACGGTGTAGTCGTAAGCTGGCGAATTGATAGCAAACGACTGATTTCGCGCATTAGGCCGGACGTGAATTGACTACCCTGATCGGTTAGAATTTCGCGCGGAATACCAACGCGGCTAAAAATGTCAACCATGGCTTCGGCGACAGTTGTGGTCTCTATGTTTCGCAGAGGAATCGCCTCTGGATAGCGAGTAGCGTAGTCAACGAGAGTTAGGATGTACCGATTTCCCTTTTCAGACACGGGGTGGATAGGACCTACTAGATCAATGGCTACGCGTTGAAATGGCGTGTCAATGAGGGGCATTTGACCAAGTGGAACCTTTGGGACTCTGCCTTTGTGGACTGTGCGTTGACAAATATCACAGGACCTACAGAACCTGGTGGCATCTGCCTGAACACCTGGCCAAAAGAATTGACTCAGTATTTTATCAGATGTTTTTCTGATACCTTGGTGACCGCCAAGTATTGACTCGTGTGCTATTTTCAGTATGTATCAGGGGAACTGTGAGGGGACGACTAGTTGAAGACAGGGTTGACCAAACTGGTAACTAGGTGCCTTAAATTCACGGTATAACAACCCACCTGACCAAAAGAACAAGGTAGTCGATCCATTTCTAGTTCTCTTCTGATTTTCGTTACCTGCCAACTCTCTAATGTGTTTCAAGGAAGGGTCATTGACCTGAGCTTGTCTGATTTCTTCACTATCAACTTCAGGTAGCTCGTTCGGGACAATCAATTTCTTCATGGGCTTTTCTTTGTTGAGTTTCTGAATTCTGGTCTCTACTGCATTCAATTGAGGTGCATCTGAGACTCGGGGCTCTATGTTTGACTTGATATGTTTTTCAGGGTACATCCACTCAGGATTAGGGTCTTTGGGGTCTCTGGCATTTTCAATGTTTCCAATTATGATGTCGTATACTGGATTTGCCATGCATAGGGCCTCACATGATCCAACAAAATATGGTGTGTTCAGAGTAACCCTGGCTAATTTTGCTTGTCGAATCGTACCATCTACCAAGACACATGACCTTTCTTGACCTGTGAATTGACTTTCTTGTACTAGACTTTGCTTGACCACTACACCACTACATCCACTATCTCTGAGGACTGTGACTTTCTTACCATTCATGACACCTTCAATGACTGGCATACAGGTGGGGTTTTTATCCCTACATGCAGCGCTCAGTACGGGCAATTTCTTACCGCATTTTAGTTCAACATAACCATCGCGGGTGCAACACGGACCAAGGGTATGAGGTGTTACCATACATGCAACTTTCTCAAAGTGTTGTATGTGTTGCGATGTGTCTGCATTGGTACTGTCATTTTGTGTTTCTGGTTCGCTATGCGCTTGCTCAGTGTTAGCGGGATTACCCATAACCTCTGTCAGTGCTGATGCGATTATGCTCGCTATCTTGGTGAAATCTTTGGGTTTGCTCCTACAATCGCGTGCTATGTGTCCTACTTTATGGCATATATAGCAGGTCCGCAAATTTCGCCTATCATCAGCACGCGGGTACTGAGTGGTGTGCGCATTGGGCGGCTTATAGGGCGGCTTATAGGGCGCTCTTGACTCTGTTCTGTGTTGGAAGTTACTCTGGACAGTTTTCCTACCGACAGTGTTTTGGACTTGACTGAAACTACCGTGTGCGTCAGCATATTGCTCAGCAAGGCGGGACATTTCAGCTGCAGTTTTGGGTTTTCGCTCATTTAGAAACAATCTAAGCTGCTCGCTGCTGCTGTTTAGAAACTGTTCTCTAAGAATTAGATCCTTAACACTATCATATGTCTTGTCTGACTTATCCATCTCTAACCAGCAGGTAAATATGCAATCGAGTCGTGCTACAAACTGTGGAGGTGTTTCTCCTTGCTCAGGTTTCGCGTCTCTAAACTTTTGCCTAAATCCTATTGCAGTGAGGTGAAATCGCTTGAGCAAGGCGTCCTTCAATGAATCGTAATCATTTGCATTATCTACGGGTAATCGCGAATATACGTCTAATGCTTTGCCTTTCAATAGTGCACTCAAGTTTATGCCCCACTCATCGCGGTCCCAACATTGGACTTCAGCGTAACGCTCAAATCTCTGAATATACGCGTCTAGGTCGTCCTTATTCTCATCAAACTTGGGTAACTTTGGTGCTTTTGCCTTAGTGCGAGAATGACCACTGTGTGATGTGTTATGCGTAGATTCTGGACTGATCGGTTCATGTTTCATCTCTTCAAGTCGCAACTGCATTTCTAGTATTTCCCGATCTTGACGGCGCATTTCTAATTGATATGCCCTACCATCGCGATCTAATCGTTCTCTTTCTTTGCGTTCTTCGCGAACGAAATCTAACAGTTCCTTTCCACTTAAGTCGCATGCTTCAGCAACCACTCTCAATTTTTCATAGTCTACATCCATTTTCTCACCCGGTATCAACTTACCCGAAGTTGCCTGAGGAGAGCAGTGGATACTACGGGACGACAGAGGGGTTTTGCAACACTCAGCCTGTATCAAGAGGGTGGTATAACACAATAGAAAACACAACATTATTTACAATTCAACTTTCGAAATCTTTCTGTGGTCTTTCTTTCTTTCTTTATTCACTTGAATCATTTCCCGGACAAGCCCCCATAATTGTCACCATTTTCATTTTCTCTATCTCTATCGACTTGTATAATTTTATTAATGGTGACCCCGGCTCAAATTATCAATGATCAAAGAAGTATCAGACAGAAAGAAATATAAACCAACAGACACAATAATCTTCAGATTTTGAACAGGTATTATTTTAACAAGTTATATATGCCAATTTAATATTTACAATTAATATATACAAGGATCCAAATAGAACTTATGTTTCCAATCACTGTCTTCTCAGATTGAAGACTTCAGTTTAACTTTTGCACTTATCTAATTCACACAAATTTTCTGTAGTTCAGTTTTCTTATTCTCTTGGCTTAAGGTTAAGCTATCAATCGTACAAATTTTCTGTAAACTAATTTATCTTATCGCTTATCACGTCTTAGATTTACACTCAATTCGATAGATCACACAGATCTTCTACCAGTCAATTCTATTAATTCTCACTTAGTTTTCTTATCACCGTATTGATGGGTGACTCGCAGACGTCTCACAGTTAATTTTCCCAACACTTGGGCTTTCTTGTGAACACTTAGTTCTCTTATTACTTACATATACTTGTAACACTTAATTTTATCATATTTATTTAAATATCACACAGGTTTCTTGTCAGTTAGTTCTTTGAGGAGTTTTTGATCAATAGGGATACCGTACAGTTTTTTTTTCTAAGGAGATGTTGTCCGCTCAACTTGACCTTTACGGTGAAAGTAGGACTATTCTGCGCTTTACTTAGACGTGCTGTAGGTAGTTGAGTATGACGGCCAAGTAGCCGATCTCTCAGGCGTTCTCTCAGGCGGTCCCTCAGGCTCAGTGGCGGGTTAGATCATACCAGTATTTACGGCCATCTACAATAATAATATAATAACCAAAAACCTAAAGAGCATTTCGTCCAATAATTCAAACAAAGGCAAGGTTAATACAATAAATTGAAACAACTGCTGTTTCGGCATACATGTAGACCGTTCTTCGTTTCAATTTCACAACCATGGCAATTCATCTAAGGTCTACACGACATTCAGGATGTGGCCTTACGTGATTTACAATTCATTTCATGGATTGTCGACTTTGCACAATGAAATAAAAATGAATGTCTAAATAAGTATATAAATATTTTAAAATAACACTTACGGTTGTGGAGAGTGCAGTTTAATTGATGCCGGGCTGAGTGTTGCGATTTTGGTCACAATCGGACCGGGGACTGCTGGTCCGAAGATCTTACTTCGGCACTGTAATTTTGCCGATCGAGCTGACAAACTGGATTTTGTGGCTGATTTCCACAAAAAATCAGAATCTTGGGTTTTCTATAACCTGCTGCATTCAGGTGTCTTCGGACGGTTGATACCGGTCACATTCACACACACTCAGACTAACACGGACTAATTTTTGATGATGCTTTCTGATCTGACGCTACTATCGTTCTCCCCAAGGCTTTCTCCCTCTCTCTCATTCTCTCTCTCATTCTATGTACATTTACATACCAACCAATTAAGGGAATAATAGTACCACCAACCACAATGGTTGATAACAATGCTGGAGAATACTAGAACATGTCCTATTACATCACATCGCTCCATGCATCGAATGCCAACGCCTTAAATCTCAGTGGTTATACGTTTTTAATGGCGCGGGAACTATAGTCGTTTCTTATTGGAGAAAAACTTTAGGACTCGACTATTTATGTGCGTAGGGTGATCTCATTACCGAGTAATGAGGTGCGCGAAAATAAAAAATATAAGAAAAGAATTTACGTTGTGACACTGGTGTCTCCCCTGTCTCACCCTTCTGACCTTTGGCACCAGTTTCCCCAGTTCCTCCAACAAAACCAGGTAGCCCTCTCGGACCTATCTTGCCGGGCAGACCAATCCCATCATTACCATTAGACCCAGTGTTCCCAGGTGCTCCCCGCTCACCCATAGGTCCAATAGGGCCAATCTCACCTTGCTGACCTGCATCGCCCTTTGACCCCGTCTGACCGTACGGCCCCATTGGTCCTACTGGACCAGGCAGACCTGGTATGCCGGGTATTGCAGCAGGTCCCTGGCAGCACTGCTGACACACCTGAGACGCAGGACCATCGCCATCCGAAGGGACCGGCCCAGTAACGGAAGCTAGGAGCTTGACAGAGTTACCCAGAAGGAGGGCGATTGACAGAATGGTCGCCACGCAGATCTTCATCTGATGGAAAACAATACAGGACCTAAAATTACAAACAAAATCACTACATAAAATGAATAATTTGTATACGAGACATCATTTGGAGGAATCATTATTCAGAGAATGTGTCGGCAGTGGCCTATCCGAGAGCAAGGGGATAACATGTAAATAACAAGGTGGGTTCTTTTTTAAATCTGTTGCCATGGCAACTACGGGCAATCCACACTTGTTAGTATTATTGTTTTGCCCGCCGATAAAAGTTTGGGAAGGAGACCGAATTACATCATTTTTCTGATGTGACGGCACGCCCTTTCCACGGTCATGATAGAATCAATTAAACATCATCACACCGACCTCGATGGTTTGCTCTTGAAATCTTCAAGATCGGGTCCAAGAAGAGATCACAAGGAGTTCAGTGTAGGCTGAAAAAAAAAATGAACAAAGAAAACCGGTAACGTTTATACTTGAGTAAGGAATGAACTTATGTTATTATTGGTTTGAATTATATTGTGAGGTTTTTCTTTCAGTTTTATAAATCATCATTCGAAAACAGGAACAATTACACACTTGTAAATAATGGACAAATTATTATTTGACCAGTCCTGGCCGAATACCTCCAGAAAAACAACATGTTTTAATGTGGCTATGTGAAATTTCTGGGGTAACTAAATGCTGCCTGAAATCACCATTCAATTTATTCATAAACACATTCATTAAAATTAAAGTTCCTTCCTCCCCCAAATGTATGCATATTTAGGAACTATCAAGCGATTGAAGAGTTTTTGAAACCATAATGTGAGTTTTTAAAAAAGCAAATTCTTCATTCCAATAGCTATTTTTCCGTCCAATTGCACAACTTGCCCGTTCGATATTCGAACACGTTCATTCAAATTCGAATATAAACGCGCAAGCATTTTCAAACCCAGTTGAATTTAGCGAACGATCAAAATATTTCAGGGCATCTTCACTTTACGCGTAAAAAAGTAGGCAATTTAGGTATTTAGGTAACTTCGCCCCGGCAATAAACTCTGGATCCGCCCCTGAAGATATTATGTGGCAGTGTTAAAACAAAGTATAAAATTACATACGGTTTTAATTAACTTGTATAAAGGAACATACAAAGAAAATATAAAATGTCAGGGAAGGAAAAATGAAACGTGCATAATAGAAGTTAACAATTTATTTAGCAATTTAAGAGACACGGCTTGCTGACTGGGGTTCCCTTAAGGAGAAAAATTACACTTTGTTCTGGCATGGCAAGAGCGCAGAAGACACCCGAGAACACGGCGTTGGCTTTTCAGTGAAAAACACCCTGATTGCTACAACAGTATCACCGACAGGAGGCTCCGAACGCATCTTTGCCATTCGTATATCCACCAGCAGTGGACCAGCCAATTTGCTGAGCATTTACGCCCAACCCTCTGCTTTCCCCCGAGACAAAAGACAAGTTCTACGAGCCAGTTATCGAGGCCAAGCGCACCGCCTTCCCCAAGTACAAAGATAATCCATTGACGAGGAACCTCGAGGCTCTTAGAAAAGGGGCAAGGCTCAGCAAACAGCACGACGCTGCGCAATCAACTACTGGCTCAAACTCTCCTCCAGCATACAAGCCGCGTCCGACACAGGTGACATCAGGGGCATGTATGAGTTGATCAAGCAAGCCACAGGTCCCTCCATAAAAAAGGCGCCTCTCAAATCCAAGTCCGGTGAAGTCATCACCGATTGCAGCAAACAGATGGAAAAGTGGGCTGAGCACTACATGGAGTTATATGCCACAGAAAACACAGTGTCAGAGGAGGCTCTGAATGGCATCGCCAGCCTGCCTATGATGGAGGAGCTTGACAAGGACCCTATGCAAGAGGAGCTCAGCAAAGTCATTGACAGACTCGCTTGCGGCAAGGCCACAGGTGCTGATGGGATAACACCTGACATCATACAACTTGGAAAACCAAAGCTTTTGCCATACCTTCACGACCTCCTCTGCCTTTGATAGAATGAAGGAGCCGTCCCCAGGACATGTGTGACGCCAAAATCGTCACGCTGTACAAGAACAAGTCCGACCGCAGCAACTGCTACTCAGCACTGTGGGGAAGGTCTTCGCACGCGTTGCCCTTATCAGGCTCCAGCTTCTGGCGGATCGCGTCTACCCTGAGTCACAGTGTGGCTTCAGGGCATCAAGATCCACGGTGGACATGATCTCCAACCTTCGACAACTGCAGGAAAAGTGTCATGAACAGAGGAGACCCCTGTATCTCGCTTTCTTCGAATTCACGAAGGCCTTCAACCTTGTTAGCAGAGATGATCTCTTCAAGCTGCTTGCAAAGATCGGTTGCCCTCCAAAACTTCTCAGCATCGTGACATCTTTTCACAACAACATGCAAGGCTCAGTCTGTTGTGATGGAGAAACTTCAGAGACCTTCCCAATCTGCAGGGGAGTGAAGCAGAGATGTGATTTTGCACCGACCCTCTTCGGAAATGTCTTCTTTCTCCTGCTGTCATTTACATTTCGCTCATCCCTGAAGGCGTCTACCTACACTCAAGAGCTGACGGCAAACTCTTCAACCTTGCTCGCCTGAGGTCCAAGACCAAAGTGACCAGTGTACTCCTGAGGGAGATGGTATTTGCAGATGATGCAGCTCTAGCATCCAACACAGCGACAGGGCTCCAGCAGTTGGTTCGCGAGGAGTTCGTTCTCACCATCAGCATTAAGAAGACCCATGTCATGGGCCATGAAGTCGAAACCTCACCGTCCATCTCTATTGACAACAAGACTCTAGACTGTGTGAGCACCTTCAAGCACCTCGGATCAACAGTCTCCAACAACCTGTCACTTGGCGCAGAACTGAGCACCCGTCTTGCCAGGGCCGCCGCAGTGATGGCCAGGCTGGCAAAGAGAGTGTGGTCTAACAAGAACCTAACTGTGTGCACAAAACTCCAGGTCTACCAAGCATGCGTCATCAGCACTCTGCTAAACAGCAGTGAGGCCTGGACCACCTACACCAGACAAGAAAAACGGCTGAACAGCTTCCACCTTCGCTGCCTACGCCGCATCACATGGCAGGACGCCGCATCATATGGCAGGAGAAAGTCCCCAACACAGAAGTCCTGGAACGTGCCCACTCCACCAGCATGTTCGCCATGTTGATCCAGCGCCGCCTCAGATGGCTCGGTCACGTCCACAGGATGGACTCCAGTCGTCTCCCAAGGGCCATCCTGTATGGCGAGCTTTCGTCAGGCTCCAGGCCAATTGGTCGTCCGAGCCTACGCTTCAAGGACGTGTGTAAACGCGACATGAGGCAGACTGGCATAGACCCCAACAATTGGGAGGAAGCTGCCCAGGATCGCAGTGCTTGGAGGCAGACAGTTGCCGCAGGGGTCCACCGCGCTGAGGAGAGGCGCACCTCCTTGCTGTAGGAGAAGAGGCTGAGGAGGAAATTGCGAGTGGCACCCACCCTGTGTCAGCCTCCTCTCCCTTCGTCTGCGCTAACTGCGCTAAAGACAGTCATGCAAGAATTGGACTACTCAGCGACAGTTGCCGCTGCAAAAAAGACGACAACCCCCGGGCGCAGTCCATCGTCAGTATTGACGGACGTATGCCTACTACTACTTAAATACTCTTTATGCTAAAGTTCAAACAGTATTTCTAAGCAAAGATCGGCCACATTGTCCCAGTTCGACGGTGGGCGTGGAGGGGGTTCCCTAACTTCTTTAAATATCACTCTCGCACCTTTATTTTTAATCGGATGATGTGTTATGTTTATAATGTTGACCAATTAAAAATGTTTTAAATGCATCAACAAACACAGTTTTCCACCAAATAACTATGCTATTCTGATGCTTAATTGCGAGAAAATGTAAAATATAAACCACTCACTTTGATGTAAAATTCTTGAATTTGATCAGGAAGAAATCATCAACACGTGTGCAGATTGCTGGCGGAAAAAAATACCAATTTATAAAAATGAGTAATTGAGTTATTTTCTGAATTGATATGGGCAACCGATCTCATACCACAGAAGTATAGTGGCGATAATATATTACAGGTGGACCACCACAGTTAAGCTACAGTCGTTACAAGAAGAATTATTTCCCCGGTGGTGGGAAATCAGCGCACCTGTTTGG